AACATTCGAACTATAACCTCGCGGTCTTTGGACCCATAATATTAGAGATTCGGGTAGTAATCTAAACAAAATGATTTCTAACAGAATTTTTTGGAAATTCTGAAGTGTATCCTTATCGTAGCCCACATTATGAATAATTAGTTATGCTGCTATAAGGAAATATCCTTACTCCTTAGTCGCAAACAGTTTTGGTTATGGTTTCCATGGGACACACCTAGAAGGCTAAGTTATAAAACACCTGTGTCGGTGAGATGACTCCACAGTCTTCAAAAAATAACCTCCTATTTACGATACTGGTTTGACTCCAAACAAGCATCTCGGTGATCAGCCGCTAACTCAGTGTAGATTCGACTTTCTATATTAGGAGAAACATACTCTATATACTATGTAGAGCCTTCTCCTCCCCAGCAACAAAAATAGCTACCCAATTTCCTAATCATCGGGACGAACTTTGTAAGCAGCAGACGATGTTGTCTTCTAGGCTATTAACAACCTTTGAAATCGACCCAGCTTGAAACATTGGGCGCCAGTCTACATAGAATTCACGGATAAGAAGTTAAATGTCCAAAACGTAGAATAGAGATTCCCCTAAGGATGGCTGACGTCTCAATAAAACCAGATAGATTGATAGAATCCTATTAGGTATATTTGTATGACAACTAATTTAACGAGCCTGCTTCGATGTCGAGCGTTGGGGTAATTAAGGGTTTGCTTCGATCTTCCCCTTGTAAAAACCTATACCTAAAAGGGACATAAATCATTATTCCGAGCCATCATAGACCCAGTGAGTTTTCGCCGAAATTCATATACTTGATTCTCCTGCAACCCTACCAACCCCTGAGTATACTTCCTTTTTATAATAATAATTAAAGGATTTTGTTTGGGCTTATACGATAGCGATTAAACAACAACCTTTGAAACCCTCAACCACGCCATACTATCATCCGATCCGATCCGTTGGGCGCCAGTCTACGTTAAACTCAGGGACACAAACTCAAACCTCCAAAAAGTGAATTAAACATTTTCTATCTAAGGTTGAAATTTGCAGATAGGACCCCGTTGGGATATATCTTCATGATCTGCAGATCATTACAGGTCAAAATACAGTTAGATATGAAAAAATAATTTAAACATTACACTTCTTCCGCAGGTAGTATCTATATAGGCCAGGGCCCGGGAAAAGGAGCATGAATGTCTACAATGAGCCATATTCTCCTGCTCACTCAACCAGAGGTATTGATAAGTAGTGACCTCTTTATTTTAATGTGCGAATCCTTAACTCCCTGATGTATGCTATAACAAATTCCCAATATAGATTTATATAGCAATCCTAGAATTTTGAATATTGGATTCTAAAAAAGTTTTCTTAAATTTCGACAAAAATCTTGAAATTTATTCTTCAAATGTATATTGATTTTCTCAAAAATGTTCGAAGTACCCTGTTATTAAAATTTTCCATTGACAATTCATTTTTTTTTAATAATAAAAATGTTATTTTTTTTGTAAAAATATTTGCTATTGTAATTACCGGTATATCCAGAAGTATTATTCGAAACTATTACGAGGAGGCGGAAAGGGAAAATTCGCAAAATATATATATGATGTATAAAAAAGTTCCATTTAGAAGGGCGGGCAGACCAACCGGAGTTTGTATTTAATGTATATGCCTTATAAAAACTACGCCTTGCTACGATCCCAATTATGATCAAAAATTTAAAAAAACATGATTTCTCTACAAAACATCAAGTCAACATTAATATTTTACATTTAGTGAACCTTTTGATTTTATTACACTTGACAAAAAAATGTTTAATTATTTTTTTCACTCTTTAACAATGTCCATTCATTGATTCATTAATTTATACAATACAGTAGTAGATTGATTTCATTGAAGTGGTCTGGATAGTCATGGCGAAAAAAAAACAATGTTCCAACCACACCTTGTTATGAATATTTCATTTGTCAATTTATCCTAACGAGTAGTCGTTGTCTAAACTGAAAAATGCATCAGCAATTGTATTTACACACATATATCTCTTTGCATACATTTGATATGTTTATACCTATGTAGAACACACAATATTACAACAACAGCGACAACAAACACATGAATAAAGCTAATAATGTGAAATCAATCAAGCGCTAAAATTATGCATCACTAAACTCCACAAACAAATTCACCAAATGCCAAATGAATTGAAACGCCATGGGAAAACCAAACAAAATCGGACAACAACAATGCGCAAATTTCAAACAATTCAACTTTGGGAAAAACTAATTTTTTCTCTGTTGGCGAGATTTGTTTAAATGGCAAATGTGTAACTCACTGGGTATATAACACAAAGAGATAACATATATACTCATACTCCATTGTGAAAAAAAGAAACAAGCATAACTTCCATTAGAGAGAAAGAGAAAGGTCATATCGTACTGCTCCAGTTGTTCTCTTTACTCTTTATATACATAACTCTCATTGGTTGTTGTTTATTGGGCCAATGAGGGAGAGTTGTGTTATTCTCTCTCTTTCTCTTACACTCCTAATTGTCATGGAGTGAGAATTCAAAGGGAAAAGTGTTGTTTTGTTTTGCTAGCAAGATAATTGTTTTGTGTCTTCTCTGTTTGGTTGTCGTTGCAGCAGCTGCGACTGCTGCGGCCGCTGCTCCCTGTATTTATTTGTCTTTAAATTACAAAACGCTGAATGATGATGAGTGTGTGTGTTTCGGCTTCTACCTCCGCAAATCGATTGCGCTCTTGTTGATTTCATTTGAAATTCTAGTGTTTTATTTAGTTGTCCAACAAACGCTGTTTTCTTTCTTTTGAATTTTTCCCATGGAGATGGTCTTTAAAATAGCTGACCAGGGACGAAAAATTTGAAATATTTTGGGAAAGAATGTCTTAAAGTCAAGAAAACGCCGTAAAATGTTTGCAAATCCACTCATTTTTAAAAGTTTCAGAAGTGTGAAGGTTCCTACTTCGAACTGAAGTACCTACCACGGTATATATTTATTTGTTTATCTATTTTGACTTTTAAAAATTTTGCATTTCAGCCAAGGAAGAATTACGAACGTAACTTCTTGCAATTATATGTTTACAAATTTTTCTCAATGCAAAGCTGGGTATTATTATTTGAAATGAGGTTAGCTTGACTTAATTGTACAACGATTTCAACGTTGTACACGTAGTTTTTTTAATTAATTAATTTTTAATTAATTTTTTTTATTATACATTTTTAAATAAAAAGTTATGCATTCGACAACAAAAGCATACTTTAACCTTAACCCTAGGATACTTTTGGGCTCGGAAGAATACGAAATGTCAACCAAAATGCCATAATTGCAGCGTTTGTAATTTCGACCGCATCCAAGAGTCGGTATTAAGGTCTCATCAATTGGATTTTTTCGTAAAAAGGGTGTTTTTCAGTTCAATTTCGGTCCATAATGTGTCAGAAAAAAAACCTACTACGTATTCTCACCTTTAGACTTTTTAATATAACTTATTCCAAAAATCTTAGAAGTAAGTTGGAAGGTGAATTGAACATACAGGGTGAGATGAAAAAACTGCAACCTTTAGACTGCTGTCCTTTCCATGCCACTCGTTCGACACCTGTTAAAATTATTCCAGTGGGAGCTCATTATATTGTTTACAAGCGTACAATTTTCCAGAAAAAAGTTTATCGTGCTGGAATTTAAGCGTGATGGTGTGATTTCTTTATATTTGGCTGGAAAACAACACGTGGCTATCGATAAAGCACTCCAGTATTTAAATGTGAATAAATCTTTTATATGATCTGGTGTGACTGGTAGCGTAGCCCGACGTCAAGGAAGTGGACGGAAGAAAACAGCAACATCAGCAGAAATGATTCGAAAAGTAAAGAAGCGACTTGATCGAAACCCGCGTCGCTTTGGCCGGAAAATGGCTCGTGAGCTGAACATATCGCAATATTCCATTCGGCAAAAATTGAAAAATTAATCTCGGCGTAAAGCCATTGCAATTCCAAAAAGTGTAAGAACTACACCGCAACAGAAAGAAAATAGACTCAAACGAGCTAAACAGTTGCTTCGCTTGGCCGAAAGTGGTGAACTGCCGAATTTGGTTTTCTCCGATCTCCGATGAGAAAACATTCGTTGTCCAGCAGTTTGTAAAAAAAAATAATAATCGTGTTTACTTTCCAAAGAGGTCCGCTGAAAATGTGCACCTTCGGTTGGCCAACAGAACTCAAGCGCCGGTCATGGTGATGGCGTGGGCTAGTATTAATCGACCGTGGCATCATAAAAAATGCCGAATGTTATCGCGGAAATATTCTGGAGGGTGTATTAAAGCCTTGGGCACGCAAATATTTTGGCCGCAGACCTTGGACCACCATCAAGAATGGTTACAAAATGAAGTTCCTCGCTTCATTTCCAGCGCACAATGGTCACCAAAATCTCCGGATACCAATCCGTTGGACTATTGTGTCTGGAGTATTTTGGAAAGCGAGGTTGGCACTAAAAAATACCAAAGTGTCGATCAGCTCAAGCAAGCGCTTCGCCGGGAATGGGCCGAAATACCACAGAGCAACATTCGGGCAGCGTTTGACGGTTTCATTGGCCATTTGAAGGCGTAATTCGTGCTAAAGGTGACCAATTCGAACAAATCTAAACTTATTCTAAAATTTGATGCTATTTGCGAAATTTTTTGGTTTCTTCAATAAAATTAAAAAAAAGTAAAAATTATGACGTTTGACTTTGTTGCAGTTTTTTATCTCACCCTGTACACTAAATAGTTTTTTCCAATATTTGAATTTCGAATCACAGTTATTTTTTTGGCAAAAAACTCTAACGGCTTCATCGCTGCTAAGAGATTTTATCCCAGCCATCAGCAGTCCCAAAATCAGCAGGTTACTTTGACGGTGGAACCAGTAGGGTATCTTCAAACGAAATTCATTCAGCGTTAAAAAACACGGTAGACCAATTCCGAGTATTTTACTAAACTCAATACATTTTTATTTAAAAAAATATGTATTTGAATTTTTATATATTATGCATTAAATATATATTTGTATATTGTACAATTGTTATATATAACTTTCTAGGTAAAACAATACGCGAAATGTTTAAATTTTTTTTCTCATTTTGTGCTTAAAATACAGAGTGGCCAAAAAGGTATCAAATAAATGGAGACAATTGTTGTAGTAAATGAAACAATGTTAAGATGTTTTATAAATGAATAAAAAAAATGAATCTTACTACTACTAACAAGTTAAAGATGATTTTACAAAGGGATGTTACTTGTGTGAGAAATTAAAAACAATAAATAATCAAAGAAATAATAATAAATGTGAAAACAATGACAACGATAGATTATCTATTTGTTATTGAATAAAAAAAAAACATAATAATACATGTTTCAACAAGATTGTTAAAAAATAACAAATATGGGTTTTGTGTGTTTGGTTTGTTGATACAATTTCTACTCCAAATAATGTACAGGTCTCTTTCTAAAATAAAATCAGCCTAAATCACTACATATAATTGATTGATCCCAAAAAATGTGCCCCATTAAATTTTGTTTCTCTCTTTTTCTAATAGTCCTAATTCTCTCCTTGCTGTTTTTTTGGGTAGGGCCACTAAAAGTCATCCAAATGTATTGAACATTTCAGTGATTCCGCAAAGAACAATTTATGACTTTCAAAATATCAATTTGAAGATCTGTAAAGGCCACCGGGGATAGCTTGGCATTACGTATTTTCATGGCAACAGCCTTAAAGAAAGCACCAACTTCATCATCGTCACTATTCACGGCATTCGAACTACTGGTGGTGGTGGTGGTGTGGTTAGCATTGCATGGTGATGGCTGCGGGGTATTTGTGGAGGCCTCGGAGGTGGTGGGAAGTTGGGAAGGTGTGTTATTGCTAGTCGCCGTAGCATGATATGCAGAAGAACACATCTCCTGGGTGGGTGTCAAACTTAAACTGCTGCCATTTGTAAGATTCGACGTCTGGTAGGATGTCGGCTGTTGCATTGATGTTACGACGGCATTCTTCAAGTTATCCGGTGCTATGAGATTGCCAGAACTGTCATTCAAGTCCAATGAAGGCATATTGATATGTTGATGTTGCTCTGCCACCGACGTTGACGTTTGTAGAGTTTGTGGACTTGTTGAGGTGTTAAATGTCTGCTGATTGGAGGTATCCAAATTTGTAGAATGCATATTCACCTTGTCGGCACTGTGATTCGTGTGATAAACCGAAAAATCTTCTTGAGACTTGTGATCTTCTTGCTCTTCTCCTTCATGGTCATGGTGGTTGTGATCATCTACCACACTGTCACTATCACCCATAATATAATTATCTATGTCCATATCATCATAACCCCCAACACTGTCCGAAGTCACACATAAGCCATCCGTGTGTTCGGCTTGCTGTTGGTGTAGGCTTTGAGTCTGATTTACCGCCTCCAAATCGGGTAGTTGTAATTGATTTTGATTCATTTCACATTTATCCAGGGGTGAGCTGTCGCTAATATTCATATGTTCGTCCTCGTCATCATCCATATCGCCATCAATATCAGATTTGGGGATTTGCATGAGCGATTTGTTTTCATAGTCGCTGTTAAGAAAAAATTAACAAGATTTACAATTACCTATAAAATCATAGATAATATTTATAATTACCCCGGTCTTTGTTTTATGAACTTCTGCAGAAAACTCAGGGCATCATAATGCTTCCATCTGGGTAGGGACTCCACATTGTCACGATACTTTAGCCGTTTATGTTCACGTATGAACTGATCCCTCAGTGCTTTCCACTTGAGACGACATTGCTTGACAGTTTTCTTTAATTTCCTAGCTATTTCATCCCACACCTCCAGTTTGAGTTTGACATTTCGATAATTCGGATGATAGCTGTTGTACAAGACATCCTCGTGTTGGATCATGGCAATTAATTCCTTTTCGAAATAGCTTTCAATGTTTAAAAATGTGTGTATCGGGTCATCATCTTCTTCGTCCTTAATCGATTTGGTGGCTGCAGGCATTGACAGTTGTTGCTGACCCGAAGAGGTAGTCTGTGAAAGTTCTTGCTGATGATGCTGTTGTTGTTGTTGGCACAATTGATGTTGCTGTTGTTGGATTTGACCCACACAACTAACCAGGGCATTGTATAAAGCTTCATCAGTCTGCTGTTGTTGATGATGATGAGAGTGGGTTGATAGGAGATGTGTTGTATCGCTCAACGGATGATTGTCCAGACGTGAATTGTTATTGGATGAAGTGGAGGAGGCCGTTGTTATATAAGTCCAGTTATTGTCATCACTCTGATGCTGCAACACAGAATTCAGCTGTTCCTCTGTCAGATTTGTGGCAGTTTCTGTTTTGACCGTGGAGAAATCACAAGGAGCAAAGCTTCCCGTGGCATTGCTTTCGATTTTTATGCTTTCAAATTTTGTATTATTGCTGTCGCTGTGATTCATGTTGTCATCTGGGGTAGAGGCACAGTTAAATGAGTTTTGGTTATTGATATTGTTGGTTGCATTGTTATTGATAGGCGCAGGGTTGCGGGGGCGATAACTGAAATAAACAAGTTGTCAAATTTATAAGGAAAATATAACGACAATACCCACTTTCTAGCTAAAGCATAGGGCCTTAGAAAGTCCAGTTCCTTGAAATATCTCCATCTAATGTTGGCCTTGGAGTTGAATTTACTCCTTTTCAATTCTCTACAATACTGATCCCGCATAGCCTTCCATTTGGCTTTGCATTGCATCTCTAAAAGAGTCCAGAAAGAAAGAGTCATTTGCTAATCCTCAGTTCTTTGTTCTCACAACATACCAGTCCATCCCAAATTCTCTGCAATTTCCAACCACTTCTGGTCCTTGCGCTTAGTATTTCGATAGTTTTCATGTTTGGGATTATACAGGGCCTGCTCTTGAGACACTAGAGATATCAAAATTACCTCCTTGGGCAGTGCCACAATGTCTTCTTGCATTGCCAAATCCGCCATATCCGAGAGATTCATGATTTGTTCCTCATCAACTGGTGAATGCTGATGATGATGGTGATCCTCCAAACCTTAAATGGTAAGTAGGAGATCGTTTGAATTGCGTTTTTCTTTGGGCTACTGTTGTTACTTACCTCCAGCTGCTACGTGTCTGGAGTTGGGATTATCTGCTGTACTCAACGTTATTGTTTCCATCATTTCGTTTGGGACTTGATTTTGGGAGTCACTTTTAAACTTTGCTCCTCATTTTCTTTGTTTATTCGGGAAAGCAGACTTCTTTTGTGGACTTGGAAGTCGATGGAGCACCTAAACTCACGTACACACACAGCTGATGATTGAAATAACAAGAGTACAAAGCCATTATTGAGAAAACCACCGCTGTGGAAATAAGAAACAAAGAAACAGAGCAGGAATAAGTGATAAAGTTCAAAGTCAAAACAAAAAAGAAACTGTGTCTCTTGCTGTGTTAATTCCACCCGTTTTCGATCTGGAGAGACCTACTTTTCTTCGAGAGGAAAGGAGACGAAAATAGAACTATGTCTCTATCGTTGTTAATTCCACCCGTTTTCGATCTGGAGAAAATCTTGTAATTAGAGTTGCCACTTCTACATTGATAAAAATGTTTATGGGAATTTCCGCCAAAATGGGAGTTAAAAATGTTATGTTAAGAACATGATGTTACGATATTAATATAGATTCAATTTCATATCTCAAGGAAATAAACGTGGTAAAATTAAGAAGGTAGAGTCATGTTTAATAAACACAAATTTCACATTTCACTACATAAAAGACAGTTTCCCATATCAGATTTGTGTATGTGCAATGGATTTATAAATACAAATTTTGACAATAAAATGTTACCAAATGAATAATTTTGAAAAAAAAAATGTAAACATATGATTGCATGACTTTACCTCCTTCAATCTACCATGGAAATAAATGCATTTTTATAAAAGATTTTCTTAAGGATTTTGATTTCCATTTTCAACTCTAAAATTTAAAATTTATTTTATTTATTTGACATTTTTCTCACAATATTTTAATAGAAAAGAAAATAACGAAAATGAATGGATCGTTATGGAGCTTGATCCATAATGGTAGAATTAAGAAGATAAAGACATCCAATTACACCTTTACAATTTCTTGTCAAAATATTTATTTGACAACATCTCGTTGTCAAAATTTTTATTCATACACACATCAAAGATGGGAACTTTTTTATGCAGTGAAATTTGAAAAGGTAAATTACAGAAAATTTAGAGGTGGATCATGGTACAATGAAATAAAGGTAACCTCATTTCAAATTAGCATTCCCAACCCTGCATTTTTTGTAATTTAAATGTCAAATTTCAATGCATAAAAAGCTGTCCCCATTTCTGATTTTGTGTGTGTATACAATGGATTCATGAATATAGATTTTGACAATGAGTTGTTGTCAAATTTATAAATTTGAAAAAATTGTAAACATATGAATTTATAACTTTACCTTCTTAGTTCTACCATGAGGTGGATATGCTTATTTAAAATCTTAAAAGAATTGTAATTTAAAACGGACTTTAGCGTCTAAAATTTATTTTGATTATTATTCCCAACAGTACAAATACACATGCATATAAGTGATTTCTATGCTCTGCCTTGAAAATGAATAAACCATGGTTTTATCGGTCCGATATCTGTCCAAAGCCCAATACGCGCTTGCACATGTTGCTGTAAATCAAGGGTTTTTTTTTTTCCACAAAATTTTGTCCCTTTATTTTCAACTATGAAACATATTCAATGTGAACATGGCATAAATATACATTCCACTGCAACCGGCACAAAGACATCTATTTACCGTTCATATGGCAACCTTGTTCTCTTGACATTTGACAAGCGAATTGACATTTACTCATTAAGGAGCAAAGTTTTTTTCGGCTGCATAGAAAAATACGTGTTTTATCAATAAATTAAAAGAAAAACTATTCGGAAATCATGACTTTGTACAAATTCAGTGAATTGGCCTATGCCAAAATGATTTTCCATGCTGCCAAGTATCCACATCTGGCTGTAAACGGTGTTCTGCTGTCCTCCAAAACAGAAGGTGAGATCGTGGATGCCATTCCCCTCTTTCATCAGTGTTTGTACGTTACCCCTATGGCCGAAATAGCCCTAATGCAGGTTAGTACAAAATATTGTCATTATCATGCACGGCTCTGCCATATACTAATTATGTTGTTTCCGTTTACGACATTTTGAAGATTGATTCATATTGTGAACGTGAAAATCTGGTGGTCTCTGGTTACTACTGTGCTGCCGAGAATTTCTACGACAACACTCTGGATAAAGCTCCTGCTGCCAAAATTGCTGATAAAATTCAAGAAAATTATAAAAGTGCCTGCTTCGTGATGATCGACAATAAGTTGATGACACTGGGTCAGGAAGTGCCACCATTAAAGGTTTACTCGTGCACCTCGGAAGCTGGCCGTTGGGCACGTGCTGAATATAAATTGGTACAATCGGAAGCCACCTTGGAAGCTGTGGCAGCTTTGCTAAAACGTGGAGCCATGAAGGATGTTGTCGACTTTGACAATCATTTGGATAATCCGGAAAATGATTGGACGAATAAGTTTATGAGCTGCGGTCTGAAACAGATAATGGCAATGTATTGAGTAGTTTTATACTCGCAGAACAATATTAGAATTTTTTGTTTTTTAATTTTCTTTCGTGTCTTAGCTTTAAGGGTGCAATTTAATAGAATAAAATTTCCAAAGCATGGGTATTTATGAACAGAATATGGACACAGTTTTTGTGATAGATTTTAAGTTTCTTAAAAATGTATAGGAATAGGGACATCAATATGATAAAAAAGGAAAATTTGAATGATTTGCAGATTATCAATGCCCAGTTTAGCTACCTTGATCTGCGATGTTTAAATTGCGTATAAAACTGATGACTAAAGAGCACAATTTACTTAAATTGGGTACAATTTTGTAAATGTATTTTTAATAATCTCCGGAGAGATGGTCTTTCAGTAATCCATAAGGAATAATTAGTACTGGATGAACGAACCTTCATTGCATTTTATAATGAAGGTTTTATTAAACCGTTTTATTGACTTCTTACCTCTTATCCACTCTTTTCGACAATTTGGCACATTTGCCTAAATTTTAATTACCCCTACATTATTTAAAATGAAACACTTGCATAATATATTTTCCACAATATACATATTATTTTTTTTTTTAATTTAAATGTTTTTCAAAATTCTATTCATGTTCAAAAATAAAATTCTATATTGATTTTGTTTAGTTGCATGTTAATTTATAACCACAAGCGGACCTGTTGATCCCAGCTTGTAGATGCCAGACACATGCCATTTGGTGACAGACTTATGCAAGTTATACGATTCTCATGACCGGCCATCATTCCTAAACAATTAGTAAAAATTATTAAAGTTCAAATTGTTTGATTAAATTTTCAACCTACCATTGTGGCACACTTTCATGGTATCAAAGGAATGAATATTGCCCTCAATACCCGAGCACAATAGATAACGACCGCTTGTTGATAAAGCTTGAAACAGAAATATATATCAGTTCTAAATTTGTATCCCTGAAAATGATTTGTCATATGCCTTACCACATGATGTAAAACCCGTGTTCTTTTGTGGCGGTTCATATAGGGCAATTTGTTGATCCGAACGTATATCATACATACGAGCCGTTTGATCTTCCGAGGCTGAGGCAAAAGCCATGCCATTTGGATGATACTAAAATGTGGAACATTTTTATTAAATATCCATTGAATCTTTCCCAATTAAGCTTGACTTACACAAACTGAGTTAACATCCATTTCGTGGCCGAAAAACATTTGTTTGTGTACATCCTCTCGTACATCCCAGAGTTTTGCAGTTTTATCCACAGATCCGGTAATATAGGTGTTCATATCAGGCGACAATGACAGACCGGCAATATCTCCTGCATGGCCATTGAAATCCATGGTCTTAACGCCTTTTTCCAAGTCCCAATGACAGCTAGAGAAAATAATCATAACATCAAGAGCAAATAATGGTTATGATTTGATTTCGACTAACATTTTCATATCACCCGATCCTGTAATTAAATGGGTATCATCCAGAAAACGACAAGAGCTGAGAAAACCTTCATAACCCAACAACTCTCTGGTTAATTTGGCCACACCCGACGCATCGCGATTATTGACATCGTATACTGTACACTGATTGTCCATGCCACCACAGGCCACAAAGTTACCCGATGGCGAAAAGGCCACTGTCATTACCCAAGCCGATCTCAGGGGAATAATCTTAAGGAGAATTAATTGTACTGCATTACCATTTACGAAATAATGCAGGATTTGCCTACCTGCACTTTATTTGCCGTCCATGTATCCCATATAATTAGCTTGCCATCCAATGATCCTGTCACACAGTGTCTCGAATCTCCAGCAAAATGCACCGAATTGACTTTGTTGATATGTCCTTTTAATACCTTCTTGGGAGCTAGTCGTATTTTGGGAATGTCGCCCATGTCCCCACATTTTTCTTGCAATGTACAGTCGGCTTTGGCTTTTTGATCTTCCTGTGAAGATAATTAAATTAAAATTAGATTTGTGGAAGAAGGATAGTTAAGATTATCAGCCAATTTATAGAATTAATTAGAATTTGCGCTAAATGAAACCCTGTTCTTATTTTATATAAATAGAAAATTGCTTCGTAGTACGGGAAATTTTAATATATATTTTTTAAACATCCTTTTTTAAATATCCTTGTCATATTTTGGGATATACATTTTCATATTAATTCATCGGTTCCAAATTGATTTAGAATTAAATCACACATTTAATTACATTTTGTTTTTATTTGCGAATTAGGTTTTGGAAAAAATATAAATTTTATTTAACTATTCAAACCGAACATTCAATTTTTGAGGAGTTATTACAGCAGACACTTGGCAGCAGAGTCTATAAAACTTCATTGTTTAAATCTTGTAAGTTTGTTTTTAGTGTTTCTTTTAATGTTTAGTGTTCCTTTTTGTTCGACTCCAAGTATTTTTTTCAATTTCGCTTCAATTCTAGTAACATTTTAATTTAATTTGGTTTTGTAACATTATTGCAGAGAAAGAAATTTCATTACCCTGAATTTTTCAATCATTCCATTGATTTCATCGTATAATTTTTGGATTTCTGGATCGACTTTCGGCATGGTGGCGGATTTCTTTCTAACTTGAACTCGAACTTTTCTTTTAAATTATTCCAAAATCGATTCCAATACAACTATAAAACTGCCGTAAATTGTTTTTTTATCTATTGTTTTATTTGTTTCTCGAAATGAAACCACCTGAAAAGACCGTTCGCTACTAAATGGACAATTTTGCCATAACATTGTTCAGCTATGCCGCCATTGTCGATGCAATTGATTGGCTGCTTGTCGGCCAGTTGTTAATTGCATTAGTTGGCTGTTTTAATTGGATTTGCTGCTGGGTGCTCTTATGACAGCAAATGCTTTTGACTAAGAAACAATTTTCCAAAGCTTTGTTGTTCTCCTTAAAGGAAATGCAAATGCAAGAAGAGGGTATGGCTGCGACCTGAGTCATAGCTATTGAAATGCTATTCTAATTCTTTGTGATGGTCATGTGGCCAGGAATTTCTCAGATTAATAAGGTCAAATAAGTTGTGTTTTCAAACAGATACACATTTAAGTGCACGTATTTCCGTGATACTCAAATTCAAATAAAACAAAATCCATTTTTATATTTTTTTCAATTTTTTTAATTTTTTATTTAATTCTATTTTACAAATGTGTATCCTTTTTTCTGTATTTCACTTAAAAAAATACTAAAATAATTAAAAAATGGTGTTACAGCTGCAGTTGAAATAAAAAAAAATATTTTTTGGTCTTCTATAAAAGTTATTTTAAAAAACAAAGATGGCAGCTCTAAAAGGATCAATAGAGGGGGGAGTTACTTAATAAAAGTACGTTTTTTTTTACAAAATTGTATCAACAAATGAAGTGGTAGGTGGTTGGAAGGGAGATAGGTGAAAAAAGAGAAAAGGATATTTTTAAGCGTTTGGCACTTAGAATATGAAATGATAGAGAAATTCTAAATGATAGACATTCATAGATAACAGAAAAAATACAGAGAGAGAGAGATAGAAAGGAAGAAAAAATCTAGAAATAGGGAAAGCGGAAATGAGTATTTTTTTCCTTAGAAGACTCTCGTCGACATCTTCTAGTTTAGATTTGAGAATTAGTTTCTTTCACATATTTCTTTTCTTCTTTTTTTTTAATCAGACTCTAGTTAGAACTACTTCAGTAACGTAATTCTTGGCTCGTTTGCAAACAGCTCCTAAACAGAGCTCTCTTTTTTATGGTTTGTTTAAAGAAAAACTGAATCCTAACAAAAACTTAAAAATTATATAAATTAGTTCCCTCGTTGTTCGGCGGCGACTTAAACTGAGAAACCATCACCGGTGGGATCCAAGATCCAGGGGTAGTTGTTGGGGCACTCCATACAGGTGAAGAGACGCAAAGTTTCACCGGGCAATTCGCGGGTGGTCAAGGGGCAGGCATTTGGCAGAGAGCAGTAGGGTTGACCCTTGACGTCACACTTCTCCTTCCATTCCTGGAAGTCACGCAAAGCGTTCAATTCAACGGGGTTTTGCATCCATTGGATGACCTGCAAGTTGGTGACGAAGAAGACATCGTTGCGGCCCAACATTTCTTCAATGAATTTGATCAGTTCATCCTTGTATTCCTTCTTCGATTTCAACCAGGAGGCGTGGAAGTGGAGACCCAAAGGAGCACGGTTGCTATTGTAGTGACGGTTGAAGTTGTGACGCAAAAGTCTACCGAACTGATCACCGCTGGCAATGTTGGAGCATGAGTCAACCATGTGACAACCGGGCAGAGATTCATCGAAGGTGGGGTCATCACGACGATCCAATTCGTTCATGACCATTTCCCAGACAGGGTGGCTACGGGATGGGCAGTTGTGGGCATTGCCGTTGCACTTGTGGGGCATGCGGAAGTACAAGGTGTAGGGCCAGATGGGTACACGGCCCAAAGAGGCGGTGATGGAAGCATCGTAGACAAAGAATTGATCGGCCATCATTTCGAATTGTTTGTTGCCACCGACACGCAAGTAGGGAGCGCGCATACCAATGATGGAACCATCGGTGATGTTGGCGAAACGTTCAATGATCAAACGAGCGCCGGCCATTTCAGCCAACCAATCGTCGTAGGTACCGCTGGTCCAGTAGTTGGGATCATCCTTGTGGGTCAAGGAGAAGACAGAGATTTCGTGACCCTTGCGGTGCAAATCTTGAACGGCAGAGTAGTTGGTGTATTTGTGGGAAACAAAGAAGGTACCCTTGATGGAGCAGCCGTTGGGGTTCTGGCGATTGCCGTTGAAGATTTCTTCGTACAAATCGATGTTGTCAACATTGACGGCACCGTTGAAGGTGATGGTGATCATCTGAGGGACTTGTTGGGGTTCAATGCCACCAGGGATACGGGTACCATCAGCAGAGCAGAAACAATCGGGCAAGGCGCACTGGGTGGGGTCGCATTCAGGGGCGCGATTTGGATCATCATCAACAGCTGTTTGGGTAGTGAAGATTAGGAAATGGTTCGGTAGCTAAAGAAAGAGAGGGATTACTTACAGCAAGCATTTTCATCAGATTCATCCTTGCAGTTGGCTTTGCCATCACAGAAAAGCTCCTTGTCCAAACATTCACCATCACCGCAAGACAATTTGCCTTCAGGGCAAATGGGCTCATCGGTCTTGAAGATGGGCTTAGCCTTGCGTGGCTCTAAATTGATGAAGAAGAGGAAGAAAAAAATGTGGGATTAGCTAACGTTTTGGAGAAAGGGAGAGAGAGACTTTGTTTTTGTTATTCAAAAGGGGAATTGTTAGTCAACCTGTTTTTTTCTTTCTTGGAAGCGTTAGTGACAAGGTTTTAGAAGATAGAGGGGGTATTTGGTTAGTGTAGATAGAGTGTGTTGGCGTCTATGTGTGAAGTTAGTAGTTGGAGTAATGATTTAAGCCAGAAACCAAAGTTCATGCTTTCTCTAGAGTAGAACAGAGGGGACAGTGTAGTGGTTGGAGGTGTTCTTGTACTCTGATTGCGTTCTTTTTCTATTTTAAGTTTTTTTTTGACTTTTTGTCCCTTTGCCAGATTGTGTGTGTTTTATTTAAATTGTTTTTGTATTTTGTTGTTGTTGTTGCAAAAAAGCTTTGTTGGTCGACTTACTTTCTTTCTCATTGCAGTTAGTTACTTTAGCCTTCCAGTCGCAAGTTTGTTTCATAATATCGAAGGCCAGACCGGAGGGACATTGGATTTCTTTCAAACCTGATCTTGTACATCTAAAAACACACAAAAAATGGAGAGTTGTTTTTGGGTATTTCTTTGGTTTTTTGTGGGGTTTCTTCTACAAGAACTACAGGCTTCAACATTTAAATCTTTCGATGTCCCTGCTCAAACAAAACGCCGGATTTTCTTTTTTGTTTTTTTTTTTGCTGAAGAACTTTGGTTTGCAGAGAATTAAAGGTAAATAGGCGAACATATATTTTTGTAACTTTTTTTTTCAATTATTTTTTTGCTGTTGTTGTTGTACACAATAATGTTAACACATAAACAAATTAGAGACACATACATAATGCTGACTTTAATTCAGGTGGAATTCGAGAGATGCATCAGAGGACTTGACGTTCAAAGGCCATTCTTTATTTTTTTTTTTGTGAGACACAAACACGGAAACATTTATAGGTAGAGATAATACAGATGATGGTTAAATAATGAGATGAAAAAGTACATATGTTGTTGTAGTTGTTGTTGTTGATTTTCATAAACAAATCACCAGAACGACAGTGGAAACCAACGATATTCCAGAAATGATGTTTTTTGTTGTTGTTGTGAAGAAAACACATTTAGAACATCACAGAAGAATAAGTTAGAGGTAGAGAGCGAGAGTGAGTGGGGGAGGTAGGTAGGAGGGAGAGTTAAGAATTTTGAACCATTTGACCATTTCGGATAGAACATAGCCAAACAAAACAATAAAATAAAAACCAGTGGGATTAACACAAACATTTAAGGTGGGAATAACAAAGGATCAGGACTGGTAGTTTGTTTTTTCTTTTTGTTGTCGGTTGTTTGGAGGGGATATGGGGGAGATAATTTTTTGTTGCAATTGCCGTTGGCATAGCATAATGTTGACTTACTCTCATTTTGATCGCAGTTCTTAACATTTGTTTTCCAATCACATGTTTGCCTTGTAATATCAAATGCTAAACCTCCGGAACATTTAATGGAAGCTAAACGTGGAGCGCCACCATTTTCACCGGCATTATCACATCTTTATTGTGAATTAAATGTTTAATTTTTAAAATGTATGTTAATAAAAAAAAGGTAATAAATAAATGTTTAAAAGAGTTTGCAAAAGTGGGAGAATTGCATGGAAATCAGTTTTCTTTGTTTTATATTGAAACGTATAAAAATTTTAACATTTTCTATTTTTAACAAATTGTTTATTATAATTTGCACCTTAATTTTTAGTTTTTTTTTTATTTTTTATTTAAATATATTTGTTTTTCTATTCTCATTTAGAGATGTTTTGCGTAATTGATTGGTTTATTTTTCGTTAACCAATTGCTGCCCGTTGTTTGTATTTTAAAGCATACTTTCAGGCGTTATGGTAAAGTTGTTTGCCAAAGGTGAATAACCATTTTAATTTCATTTTTTTATGAAAGAAAATCGATTTTTGGTTAAAAATCAAAGTCATTCCTCCTTCTCTAATGAATAATCTTTGTTTTTCTTGAAGAAAACGTTTATTGTGTGGCTTCAGAGCAGCTTTAATTTAGCAAAACATGTCTAATATTTGTTTAACTCTTGAGATAAGCCCCGTCAATTTTATTTAATGTTAGGTTTAATAGAACTATGTTTTGTTTTCTATACCGAGCCTATACAGGTCATATTTATTTCGTTACACCAGAATTGTATGCTACCATTTGACGAGATATTGTTGCGTATTTTATTTTGGTAAAATATTTTAATACAAATAAATATTAAAATATTTATGTTGTTTTGGTAAAACCCGTTTTATTTCGATTAAAATCTATCAAATTTTTATAACGAAGAATCTGTATTATTTTTAAACACCCTCAGGGTAATGGCTATTGTTTATATAATCCTACGTTGCTCTCTATTATTTTATTATTAAAAACTTGTTACCTAAGAAAATGCGTTTTAAAAATCTATATTGTTTTTTTTTTTGTTTCAAGATTTAAAGTTGTTGCCAAATATTAAAAAAGAAAATGTAATTTTCCAAAAGAATTTTCA